TATAACTCGGTTATAATCGAGCGGGCCGGGTCGACGGGTCGCGTTTGAATGAATGCGGTGGGACCGACTGTACTGATTTGTCAAGAGCCCATTGGAGGACGTAGGTATCGCTGCGTATGTCGACGTACGCAAATTTTTTTCCTGGAAATGTGGCATGTTTGTCAAATTTGAAATTTACGTGTTAGCCGTGAAAAAGAATTGAGTGGTATGGTATCAATGTAAATCTTCCTTAAATACCTAAACTGAAACTCAATAAATCAGAGAATTAATTACATGTTGCAGCAGCAACAGTGAGTCTAAGAATTTCTGAAGAAGCGATATCTGAGCTCCCACAACCTCAAAAAGTTGTGAAATTATGACTTGAAAGCCATGAATGGGGAGAGTCAACTCTGCGACTGAAGAAGCCATGGGCTGCAATTGGGAAGATCGAGAGCCACTGCGACATTGCGATTGAAGGAATGGGACCAAAAGCCTTTCGCCGGTCCCGGAGCAAAACATAAAGTTCCGTTCTTTTTTTCTTATTACTTTTATTTATTTTAGTTTTGTGGGAGCCAATAATAGGAAAAATTAATCTGTCAGAACTCCTTGTCAGGACTCCTAAGATAGAGAATCATTTGGAGTCCAATCAAACATGCCACTTGACGGTGACATAAAAAATAAAATAAAATCTGTCCAGTAACACAAGAGAATATTTCTCCCGTATTATTCATTATTTATTTATGTGTTTTTTTGTTATTATAAAACCGAGAATATTCCCATAATACAATAACAACCGAATAACATATAATAACACTTAAATAAAACAAAATATCATGGGGGGAATATTCCTGTGTTGTTGGGCCGATTTTTATTTTTTTTTCTGTCACCGCCACGTGACGTGATTTCATTGAACTCCGAAAAGTTCTCTACGTTAGGAGTCCTTACAGAATATGTGGTCCAACAATAGGCGTGAGAGACTAAGAGCTTGGCCACATACGATAGGCGGGAGAACAATGCTGTGACGTCAGTGAGTTTCGCTTATTTTGAGCGGAATTCATTTACACCAAAAAACAACTTTAACTTTAATGTAAAAATAAAATACCCCATTAATATATTAACTCATTAGGTATTTCATTTATAGCATATTAAATATGAAAATTTTAAAAATTCATGTAAATAAGTTACACTACTTCACTAAAACTGCAAATCAAACAGCCCTAAAGAGAAAATTAGTTACCAAAGTCACAAAGGCAAAGAAAAATCAATACAATTTGTCAGTTGGAATTTAAATCAAATAACTTAATTCACTAAGCTACCAAACCTTAAATAAATACCAAAATTAAATCAACCTTAAAAATTCATCAGACGCCAAAATAAAAAATGACCAAACGAACCATAAGTGAAACTTTAACAAAAAATCAATGATAACTAAATTCACAAAATATATCCAAACAAAACTCTAATTAAAACTTCAAACTTCAAATGCCGAACATCAAAATTAGGCCCCGAAGATCTAAATCCACCAAAATAAATGAAATTGGACTCAACCAAAAATTAATAAGATAAAATTCATAAATAATTAAGTAAATTGGAATTTGTCAAGTTAATTTTTTTTAAAAAGAAAACGCCATAGGGAATTTTATTCCTTCAACAAAAATGTAGAAACACTTGGCGAGAGGTACTAGCTACACCCAAACAAAACTCACATAAGATAATACCTATAGAACCTCCTCCACATCGTACAACTCACATAAATAACAAAATAACACAATTAAATTATTCTTAAATAAGTAATATCCATCAAATCACCAAGTAAAAGTATAGATAATTTACTAGGTAAAGCATGAGAAACAAAAAAGCTTTGAGATGAACAAGCCAATTTAATAGCCCAGTCCATAGGTTAATTATCATTTCCATGAGCATATGATCAAGAAACCTGCAAAAAAGCACCAAATAACAAAATTCTCTTTTTTTGAGACAACACTAAAAGGAGTCAAATACTTCCATAAAACAAGTGAGTCCATCTCAATTTGTAATTGTGACTAACCACTTCTCGTAGTCACATATAATGCTCTTACAATAGAATCTGGTTCTGCAACCATAGAAGAAACAGGAAAAAAGATTCCCCAAACCAAGCCAAGGACTTGGCTTTGTAATTTTGGCAAACACTACCAATACATGCAAAAATTTCTTACCAAGTTTCATCTACATTGATTTTGATATTATCAATCATTTGATATTTTCGACAAAAGGACTTTAGATCATAGCTTCACAAGAGAAGGAAAAATCAATTTCTTAAATACCTTCAACAAATTGCCATTCAGATCCTTATTGAACATTCCATATTTATATATTTTTATAATGAAACTTTAAATTTTTATGTAGGTACTTTTACTATCAACCACAACACCATTATGTTCCACCTCATTCCATGGCATCAAAATTAAACAAAAAAAACAATAAATGGAAACTTACCGAAGAATTTATTATCCAGATCTCTCCATTTTGAATGCAGCTGATAATGAATGTGATGCAACTTCCCTCTTAAATCCCGTCAAAAAAAGCATAAAAACCTTTCCTAACTGATATTAAAACTCTGCAATTAGTAAAAATGTGCTCCAAGGTTTCCTCATCATCCCTGCAAATTAAGCATACTTCTCCTTAGGTTTAAATATATCATCAATTGGGATAATGTTATGCAACTGTCTCTAAATAAAAAAGGTTGTGAAAGCTTAATCGAGGAATTCCAAATCCACATCAAGTCTTGCTCCTAACTAATATGAAAATATTTTGCAATATTCTTAGAAATAGTATCTCCCACCAAGCCAATAATTTTATATTGATTTTAAGACCCATTCTGAATGGAAATATTAGGGATATAATAAGCACCAACACAACTAACTTTATTCTCCAACACTCCAACATCCTAACAGGAGTCTCTCCAACAGTCAACAAAAATAACCTTAATATCAAAAGGACCAACATAAGAATCAGCAAGAGGAATAGTACCCAACCAATCTTCATACCAAAAGCTACAATCTTCATTATGAATGTCCCAACACATTAAATCCTCAACATCTCTAACAAAGTTAAGCATTTCCTTCCAAACAATAAAATTATTTTTATTAGAAGAAATAGTAGGAGGGTGAGATTTAGCACAATAATTGGCCTTCATCAAAGAGGCCCAAAGGGAGTTCAGAGCTTGATAACGCATCCACAACTTCATGAAGCAGGTTTTCATAAAGTCTTTAAAAATTCTCAAACCCAAGCCACCTGTTTTAAAAAGTTTACAAAGCTTAGAACAACTTCTTTAATGGATGTTCTTCTCCTTACTCGCTGAATTTGTTAAAGATAATCTCCAACCATTTCCAAATTTTAAGAGGAAGTTTAAAAATTTGCTTAGTGTAGAAAGGAATAGAATTGTGAACTCTCTTTAAAAGAGTAACTTTACCCCAAAAATATTAAGGTCGTTCTCCCATGAAAATATACATTTTTTAAAATTTTAAACCAAATTAACAAAGAACTCATTCCTCCTTTTACCTGTATCCATCAAGAAACAAACATAAGGCATAAAAAGATCATTCTTAGCACACCCCATGAAATCTTGCATCCAATTCCATTTCCATAGAAATATTTTTAGCAAAGTAAAAAATGTTTTTAACAACATTAAAGATACCTTGAAATAATTTGGAAGTGATCCAAATCCTTCCAAAGCTTCTTTATAGATCTCTTGTTGACATTAGAGAAAATAATAAAATCATCAGCATACACAACATGAGATATCATAAAGTTTCCTTTGACATCAAAACACATGCTTGGATAATTGGTAAATAACTAATTTAAATATTTTGAGAGATAACCAAAAGTAATGATAAAAAGAGTAGGAAATAGAGCTTCTTCTTGTTTAATTCCTCGGGTAGCTTTGAAAAAACCACATTTATTATCATTCAATAATAAATAGTAAAAATTGTTATCTGATATTCTTTTAATGATATTGTAAGAATCCATATTAAAGCCAAGGTTTGTCATCACATCTAGGATAAGCTCCCACCTGATAGTATCATGAAATTTTCTAATATACATCTAAACATTACATTGTCACATTTTCCTTCTTTATTAATATCAAGCATCATTTCTTGTGCAATAATGTTTATCATATATAGGTTTGTCTTTAATTGAAACAAATTACTAATTACAAATAATCATATTAAGATAATTTTGAATTATAGCCCTAATAATCTTGGAAATTATTTTAAAAATAACCGTACTTAAATTAATGAGTCTATAAGCAAGTTGATACAACAAAATAATATACTATTTTAAGTACATATTTATGCTTATTTTTTGTGATAAAGAAATTTATTTTCATGTTTTTGTTGCAAGCATAGCTTTTTTAGGCATTTGAAGCAAAAATGACAAAAAGGACAGAATTTGGAGCCAAAACAGTGAATTTTTGGAATTTTGGCGCATGATGCGCCAGATTGGCTCATGATGTGTCGTTTATCAGAGAACTAGCGCATGATGCACCAAATTTGGCGCATGATTTGCCAAAGATGACTTTTTGCGTATTAAGGCGGTTCGAGATGAATTTTACAGAAATTTTCAAAGTGATAATTATTTTACACACCCCTTGGAGTGATCCAATGCATTTGGACACTTTATAAGGTTTTTTTTTTTATGAAGAGATATGTCTCTTTGATTAAATGACACATCTTTTGAATTCAAAAGAGTTGACTTTTAGAGGAAAATTTGGAGGGAATTTTGAATTCCTTTTGAAAGTAGGGATCCCCTAATAAAAGAAGAAGACTTTAAAGAGTTGGGAGAGAGTTGGAAGGGGGATGAAAAGGCAAGAAGGTGGTGGCATTGAAAAGGTGGTGGCATGAAAGGCAAGGAGAGGAGATTTTCTTCTAGGGTTGTAAGAGGAGAGGGAAGGTGAGACTTTTCTTCTTCATTACACTTCTAAAGAGAATTGAGTGTGTTTGTAAAGAGTGAAAGGCTTGGAGAGAACTTCTACGGATTTTCTTAGGAAGGATTGTGAGATAAGTTGTGTCTTCTATTTCTTTTGTTTTGTAAATTTTTTTCTATATATGAAATCCCTGTTTTATCGTATCCTTCTCATAAATTTTGAGTAGTCTTCTTTATCTTTCTCCCTACTTTGAGTTATGGTTTTGTGAAGATTTGATTTTTTTTTCTATGGTTTAAATGTAAATAAATTGTGATGATTTGAACTCCGATCTTCATTTAGTTATTGATCAAGCCAATTAAAATGTTAAAACATGTTGAGAAACACATGTTCTGAAAGGGCTATGATTTCTACAATAGGGGGAGAGTCAAATTTGAATACATGGGAGAGTATGTCATCCATGGAATTGAGTTAAAAAAAAAAGGAAATATACTTTGTTGAATGTAGAATTAGAGATTTTAAGGTT